AAGGGAAGGGAAGGGAAGGGAAGGGAAGGGAAGGGAAGGGAAGGGAAGGGAAAAGGTAGACAGAAAAAGAAGCCATATAGAAAACTGAAAAATATTTTTAAACTAGGTGATTTTCATGTGATGGTTCATGTCCATAATTAATCCCAGTGCTCTATAGTCTGAAGAAAGATAATTATGCTAAGTTCTAGGCCAGCCTGGGCCACAGAGTAATTACCCATCTCAGATACACAAACGAAAATATTTTTTTAATTTTATTTTTTTCTTGTCAGTTACATTTTATTAACTCTGTATCCCAGCAGTGTCCCAATCCCTCATTGCCTCCCAGTCCCTCCCTCCCTCCCTCCTCTCCACCGTGCCCCTTTCCAAGTCCATTGATAAGGGGGACCTCCTCCCCATTCATCTGATCCTGTTTTATCAGGTATCTATCTTCAGGACTGGCTGCAAAGCTCTCCTCTGTGGCCTAACAGGACTGCTCCTCCCGTGGGGGGTGGGGAGGCCAAAGAGCCAGTCATTGAACGAAAATATTTTTAACTCATTGTAAAATACAAGTAACACAGTACTCAGAGGAAAATTCACAGCTTTGAAAGCACTGAGAATCTTTTGACTGATGAAGAATGTAGGCCATGTATCATAATTCTCATGCTGCAGCCACCAGGCTCTGCACCTATGTCTTAAACTCCATTCAAGCCCTCTCCTTTCCCTACTCCTGCAGGTACCCAAAGCCAAGGTACAGGAACTCAAAATCTGGTTGCCATGAGAAAAGCATTTATCCCAAGAGTCTTCTACCTGCAGTGAGTAAGACACTGAGAGGCCCACCAAGCCAGCACTGAGGTTGTGCCGGTAGATGACTGAAAACAGGGCAGCAAACAGCACAATGCAGTTGCCCACACACTCAAGGCGAACAGCAAGCCACCTGTAAGGAGAAGTGTAAAGGAATAATGTAGGAGTGTATCAGACAGACAGATGCCCAGCTTCAAGCTCATGGGGCAGAGCTAGGCCCTTCTGCCAGCTGAGCTAATTTCCCAGCACTTGTAGAGAAAGGCCTTGTTGGTACTGCCCATCCAGGATATGAGAACTAGATGGAGACAAGGAGTGCACCAAGGGTACTCCACTAGACTCTTCATGAGCTTGTCCAGGAACTAATATAGAATTCTCCAGAAACAATTCCCGTCCTGGAACCTCATGTTTTTCTTTAGAAAGACAGACTTTTTCTTAGAAAATCTTTAAAATCAAAAAACAATTCCCTGGAAATTCCTAAGAGGTCATCAACTGTAGAAGGCAATGCTATTTGCAAACAAGAGCCTGAGGCAGGAACAGAGCTCAGGGATGGGTCACTGGCCTGACATGCACAAGGCCGATTTTGAGAGTCACTACAATAAAATAATAGTAATAATTACAAAAAATAAATACATAAAATCAGTCCCTTGGCAAGAGATGGACCTCAACATAAGGAAGAAACAAGCTGCTATTTCCAAGGTTGAGCTCTTGGGACTACTCCTGTCTGCACCCCACAATGGCAAGGTTATGTGGAGACACAAATGTGGTTTCTCATACTTGCACAGTAAGCAAGTATAGCCACCAAGCCATCTCTCCAGCCCCTAGATTACTTTATTTTTGAGACAAGTTCACACTCTATAGCCTAGCTGGCCTGGAATTCATTACATAATCAAGGTCGTTTCAAACTCATGGTAATCTTCCTGCAGACATGTGCCACTATGTTCCTGTGCACTTCGGATGACCCTTCTGTTTCCATTCCTCTCCTAGAAGAAATGGAGGCTGAGGGACTGGGCACTCAGCTGGTTTTCTCTATCCTACTGACCACTGCACCCACCTGTTGGCCACAATGCTGGGGTAGTAGGCCTTCTGATTCTCATCCACTTTCAGGTCACTCTGGCGAATGAAGCGTTCCTGCTCCTCAAAGGCACGGATGACACTGACCCCCAGCAAGGTCTCATTGAAGTGTGAATACACAGGAGAACGGCTGACAGACTCCAGGCGCTTCAGCTGTCGAGAGGAGGCTACATAGAACCTCTGTGCGAGAAACACAGAATCAGTGCCGGGACCTCATCCCATCCTCCTAGGAACCAAAACACTGGGGATTTGCTGCTTATCTGATGAACTATGTCAGTAACAGTAGTCATAGATACATGCATGTATATCCCACCTGCCACCTATAAATATATAGGTGCTTGCTTTTGGATGGAGACGACGAGGCACAAGTGACCTTTGGGTTTATGGCTAAGAAGCAGCAGGAAGGACCTGAGCTAACCTCCAGACTTCCTGTCCTTTCAGAAGCCCTAAATGTTTGGGATTTTCCTTTCCAACAGTTAGCCTTTGTGACTAACACACAATCCTAGCCAGGTCATTGCACTGTCTTAGCTTTTGTTTCTTCTGTACTATAGCAACATTAACGCCATTATGCACAGTGGGCTGTGAGAAACTAGGTAAGAGCCATGGGTTCTGCGTGAGTCTCACACACATACACACGCTGCACATGCCATACACACATATATGTCATCAAGCACTGAACTCCATTAAACCAGAAGGAGCAACTGCCTGTGTCAGTAGCCTCACATGTCTGGCAACTCTACACCCTTCCATTTGCCCATCCTTGTTCTCCTTCAAATTCATAGCTTCTTCTTTCACTAAGCACTATTGCATGCATGTAAGTATATGTATAGACATATATATTCCCAAATACAATCTGTTTGAACACAATTAATGCTGCCTCTATGTATGTTTTCAAGGCTGACTCTTTGGCACTGGACAACCAGTTGGTGTGTTCTTCCTTGGGGGGAGCTAACTCTCCTGTTCCTAGCTTTACTCAGTTGCCTATTGTCTAAGTTAGGGTTACTACTGTTGTGATAAAACACCAAGACAAAAAAAGCACCTGGGGAAGAAAGGGTTTATTTCACTCACAGTTCCATATAACAGTTCATCATTAAAAGGATGAGGGCACACTAGGCAGTGGTGGCACATGCCTTTAATTTCAGCACTCAGGAGGTAGAAGCAGGCAGATCTCTTTGAGTTCCAGCCTGGTCTACAGAATTCCAGGACAGCCAGGGCTGTACAGAGAAACCCTGTCTCAAAAAGCACCAAAACAAAAAAGCAGTGAGGGAAGGAACTCAAGCAGGGCAGGAACCTGGAGGCAGGAGCAGATGTAGGGGCCATGGAAGAGTAATGGTAACTAGCTTGTTCCCCCATGGCTTGCACAGCCTGCTTTCTTTTAGAAACCAGAACTACCCACCTAGGGATGGCACCACTCATAATGAGCTAAACCTTCCTCTGTCAATCACTAAATAAGAAAATGCCCTACAGGCTTGCCTACAGCCTAGTCTTAACGAGACATTTTCTCAATTTAGGTTCCCTCCTCTTAGATGACTTTAACTTGTGTCAGGTTGACATAAAACTAGCCAGCACACCTGTATAGTTCTTTATATATAAGGGTTGAGTCCTTGTAGGCTTTTTTCTATCTCATTAGGCATTTTCAGAGACTGAGAAATTCTTGTCTTCTTCTACCGCTATAGGAGTCACTACTGTCCCTTGCTGATGAAGAGTTTAAGTTAGATTGGATAACTCCATTTTGAAATGAGAAGCCATCTTGACTAGAAGCTGAACTCAGGTACAAGGAAATATCACACACAGAATGTGCACTTGGCAGAAAACAAAGTTAACTCTCCTTGCAACAGCTTCCAGGAAATATCACAGAAGAAATAGTTGGTAGAAAACAGAGACAATCTCCCTGGCAACAATCAATGAGAATCAGTTGGGAAAATTCTCCCCAACGCTCCAAATGTAGTTTAGAAGAATGGCAATTGTGATTATGTGCCTCAGCTAGAGGGTGACCTCGCCCTATGACCTTTACCCAATCCTGTAACACAAAGGCATGAACCCCCTGCTTGTGGTTTTTTCCTTTAAAAACCCTGTTCACCCAGGCTTGGGGTCCCACTCCTCTACTGCTGCGTCAGCGAGACTTGGGTGCTGTGTTCGAACACGTATACAATAAACCCTCATGTATTTACAGTGGAGTCAACTCCTGGTGGTCCCTGGGGGTCTCACAAACTGGGCATAACACTGACTTGGTCTCCACTCCATGTACCTGGCCTACTGCTATCCTGTGCTTGTCATCCTACAGAGAGAAGACCAATATCACTTCCTTTCTGTGTTACCCTCCCAGATATTGGGTCATAACCACATTACCCTTAAGATCTGATTCACTTATCCTTGTAGATAGATGTCTACATCTATCCTGTTCCTGTTCTAGTCAAATGCTGAAAGCAGAAAAATCCTAGTTCCTTTTTTTTCCACCCACTGGAAGCTGCCAGAAGTTAATGAACTGCATTGACTACTTGAAAACCTGGGAGCTTTTTGGCCTCTGTAAGGAAACTAGTGACAACAGGGCCCCAATTCCCAAGGTGCTGATAGGGTCACTGAGAGACAATCACTTGATCCTTGGTGTCCCTCCTGTCCCTTTGTGCTGACTTGGTCCACTGCAGCAGGGCAATAATAAAGATATCTCTCAAAGGGCTGCCCCAGCCAGGCACAGAAAATATCAGTGGTTCCCACCAGGCCATACACAGATGTGGCAGCCTCAGGGCACCATACTGCCAACTCTGAAGTCTGAATCAGCTGCCCCCTGTTCTCCTGCCTGATGTCTTCATAGACCACTCTCCCTATAGACTCTCTTACAGAGAGACCCTCCCCTGACCAGTTCCAATCTTCCAATCTCATTATTGTAAAAATCCAAGCTGATCAGGAATGATCTCAGTTCTAAAAAGAAATTTGTTCTTTTTAATACCAGCAAAGGAACACAAACTACTGCCTGGTCTGAGCACCCTGAGATAAGATAACCACTGCAGGAGTGCATATGCAATCAAGCAAGGCCCATGAACACCAAACAAGTGTGACAACCATGCTCTAGCTAGCTAGATTCTGCATCATTTCAACTTCCACTCAACTTTCTCAAGAAAAGCACTTGTTTTCATTTATTAAATTTTAAATCTTATATAATGATGGTAATGAGCATGTGTGTGTGTGTGTGTGTGTGTGTGTGTGTGTGTGTGTACGAGAGAGAGAGACAGTGTGTGTATGTGTTATGGATATGTGCATACGGTATGTGTGTGCATGCCCAAGCCAGAATCCACACACAGAGGTCAAACAACTTTTGGTAGTCAATTCTCTCCATCTTAGTATAAAATGTGAGAATAGTGTTTGTGTAGCAAAAGCTGAACAAACCCCATCTGCTGAACCATCTCACTGGGCCTGTTTTTAAGATTACAACAAAAACAAAAAAGTATACTGGAAACTCCAAGATGGCGGTATATAGTACGCATTGTATCTGACAAGCAGGTGAGCAGCGTGTAGCCTGGCTGCGGCCAAAATGACACCATCTGTGTTTCCGGATGAAAGGAGGCTCCCCAGAAGTTAGGGGCACACAGTCCCAGACCTCTGTGGATGACTCCCGGGCTCAAGGGACACACAGTAACCCGGTGCCTTCCATCTACCTGAACACAACTCCCGAATACCAGGGACCAACGGCTCTAAACTCTGGAAACCAGATTCCTCCTGCTTCGCAGAGGTCGGCACAGCCTCCAAACACCAGGGACATCATCACCAGCTTCCAGCCGCCCACTACCCATCTCCCTGTGGGAACCAGCCAGACAATAGGAGCATACAAAATCTGGTCCCAAGATGATAAAGCCCAGCAACCACAGAATCTGATTATCTCCCCAGAGAGCAGGAACTGCAAGCAAGCAGCAGCCCACCCTATGTGAGAACCCCAATTGAAACTGAAGCCCCATTTGAGACCCCATTAGAGCCTGACATAGATCTGGACTTACTCCATGACAGGCCTCAGTTCACTGTCAAATGTGCAAGCCTAAGTTCCCATTTCCCAGAAATAGATCAGCATTTACTGGAAAAAACACAGAAAATAGGCATCCAATCAGAGGCCACCTGATCACCTGCCAGACCCTCTGCCAGACCATCTGGTGGGAAAGATAAGGCTGCTTAACTGTTGGGATAGGAATAGCCTCTTTTATGATTGTTATTCTGTCTCATGATTGTCTCATAATAGCCTGTCTCATGATTGTTGACCAGCCCAAAAGTTACCTACATTATACATTTGAATGTTCCAACCATACTAAAGATTACCTAACCCACCCTGAAATTTCCCCTAGTACTTATAAAAGAAGCACGCTGTCTCAATTCGGGGTTCTTTGACATTTTGCTTTGCATAGGCAGGGACCTCAGTACACTGGAGTTCTGCAGAATAAAACGCTCTTTGCTGTTGGCATACTATTTGAGTCTGGGGGGTTTCCTTCAGTGAGCTCTGGACCCTAATACATGCTGACTCCAAAACACCAACAACATGTTTCCCCAGAGAGAGAAGGTGATCCTGGCATTCAAACATGCATGGCCCCAGCACCAGTCAGCCAGGCTAACCAGCCACCCGAGGTTGACTCTGGATTCCAGAGCCTCACAGATCACAGCTCTACCAGCTGCCCTGAACAGATGGACTGAACCTCAAGTTCATACAAGGTAAACACCCACACCCTAATCTCCTTGCCTTATAGGTCCAACTGGGACACAAAGAGAAAAGCTGCAAGCAGCCCACAGAGATCTAGCCCCTAGCAGGGTTTCCCCTCTATTCCTGAAAATCTCATATGGTTCTAGGAATATCCAGCTAACACCAGCAACAAACAGATGGCTAAAGGCCAGAGTAATAACACAATCAACAAAAATGGGGCAATATGGCTCCACCAACCACCACAAACACTGGATAGCCTAATGCAACTGAAACACATAAAAATGACCTTAAAATAAAGGTCATTTTATGTTTATGAAGATGTTAGAGGACTTTAAAGGGGAAATGAATAAATCTCTCAAAGAAATGCAGGAAAATACAATCAAACAAAGAAAGACCTTTAAAGAGGAAATGAATAAATTCCCTTAAAAAAACAGGAAAAATAAAATCAAACACACAGGAAAATACAATCAAACAGGTGAAGGAAATGAATAAAATGGTTCAA